GTTCGAGGTCAGTTGGCAAAATGATCCACAGTACCTTATCTTCTATTGAGTAGAGCAGTTTTGTCAGTTGCTCAAGCCTAAAGGGTACCGATTGACCTAAATCGCCAGAGATCTGAAAATCAAGGAAATAATATATCATGACAAGGACCTTTTTCTGTGTGTTGTTTTTCTTACAGACGGTTAAGGGTACAACTCACTTGTTTTAGTCCAATCCCCGGGGAGAGCTGTTGGTCCAACGTTCTATGAAAGATCTCCAAAACTGGCAGGATGCGGGATATTTCACTGTCTCACAATAAAGGGCAGAAAATCAGCCTTATTCTTTGTAATCTATATAATGTATTTGCCAAACCCATGTCCACACGGACCTACACAGGAGTGTGAGATAGCAGACAGGGTCACCACTGTAGGAACAGCTGCGGTACGATAGCAGCAGAGAGAACATGTCCTGTGTAGCACACATTATACAGAGGGCAATCACAGCGGCTCTGTGCCAGCAGCTTTGTCCATGCTTTAGCTAACTGATTTCTCTCACCAGTTTGTCATGCATTTCTTTATTAAAACACCACATGTGTATTTGTTTGATCTCAACCCAAGATACAAGTTTATACTAGTATTCACACTTGTTATTAATCATGAATAATTACAGATCAATATTGGGATTAATGTAATAAAACGCCATGTTTCTACAGTAGCACACAAGAGAAGATCCAGACTCTGGCTCTAGAAATGGCCTTTCGTACCTTTACATTTGCGTAGGGCCACTGTATGTTCTCCAAAGGAAAAAATTAATAAAATATGTAAATTAAAAGATCCAAACCCATAGTAGTACATTAAATACGGTCAGAATAAGTTATAAGCTTTTATTTTTTGTTATAAGTGGTGTATCCTCCTAATCATTTTGAGTCTCTTTCAGCTTCTTGCGATCAAGCACATACCAGGAGACGTCAACTCCTCCCTGAAGGTCCAGGGCCTGGGGCTGTGTGGGGACATAGGACTAGGCCATTCTGTTGACTGGTAACTGTACCTGTTTAGATTCTTGCAGATTGCCATTGTTAGCTTATTTAGCCCAGGGAGGTTAGGGAAACCATTGTGCACTTGTTCAGCATCCAGGCTGACTGAGGTCCTGAAGTATTCTTGGATAGCCAGTTGATGCTCCTCTGGTATTCTGGAAATGTAAAACACAGTAACAATTTAAAAACTGTTTAATTATTCAAACCTCCGTTAACTTAGTTTAATCACTTAAAGCTCACCTATGATACTATATTTGAACAATATATTATAGGGCCACATATATACAAAACATGTCTCTTAAGTGTTCTGCTCAAAATACCAAACACCCATTGTAGAATGCCTCATACCCCTCTATTTCAGCCCTGTTACTAAAGTGCTGATTCTGGGTCTGGCCCTTTAAATGTAACCGAGCTGCTGCTGGCCACGCCCCTTTGGAGCTGCTGCTGGCCACGCCCCTTTGGAGGACCGTGGGCGTAAAGCCAGCCCACACTCTGGTAATGTCGTCATGACGCAGCAAATCTGGATCAGCTCCGTTGTACCCCCGTTTTTGACACTTTGTGAGTCTCCTTACTCACAGGAGGCACATATTTATGTATAAAAGACATCAAAAAGTGCATTTTGCATAATAGGGGACCTTTAACAGTGTTAAATCACTGCTCACAAACATATGACTCATTGTACACTTCGTATACTGCCAGTGTATTATCAGAAACTTTGCATGATTCATTATCTGGTTATATGCATCACTGCAAATTCTGTAAATGTGTCCATACGTGGACAAGTCCATATGCTGCAGTCTCATCAGGTAGGTTTCTGATAGGGACATGGAGTCACTTTCTCTCACATCGTTGCCAGCGAAGTTCCTGGGTGGAAGCTGCGGTGGAAGAATCTGGGATTCTGCAGGACAGAAATGTAAAGGATGTTTAGGAGTTTTCAAATCTTAAATCTTAAAATGTTTCACAAAATATCCACCAATCAAATGAATAAGAAGTTGTTTGACCTTGCTCCTCGTCTACCTCCTCCTCCGTATGGACAGGGTACTGCAGATGAGTGACCAGACCCATGTTGGGACTGTAATATGCCTCCACCAGCTCAGTGAGCACAGAGAAGAACCTGATAGGAACTCCTTCAGATGCCTGAAGAGCAGATCACAGCAGACACATCATTCACCTCATTGCTCAGAAGAACAGACATTACATGGTGGTATGTTGTTTTCTGGAAGACCTTTGTTTTTTCCGTTCCCAGACCAGGTGACACAATCTTTTAGTTTTACTTCCCAAGTGACGTCATCAGCTAAGTTCCTTAAGCAGCTGTGTGTGCAGTTCAAAGACTTTCAAAGATTGAACGGTCATTGCAGTCACTCTATAACGTTTATGTATTCTTTTTCTGACCATTTGTTTTCCTCTTGCTTCACACACACAATTGTTTGACTTGTTTTACAGCAAACCGACTCTAATCACTTTCAAAATGTTATTCTAAAACCCCAGACTGCCATTCCACATTAAATGATCCAAAACTTTTGTTGTCACTATTTTTGCATCACAGACAGTGCCTGCTGGAACTGGAAAAACTGGTGCCACTACTATTTCAACTGCCAGCCTGCATGCGGGGTCACAGATCGTGCACAAGATCTATTATTTTGATGGTAGAAATTACAAATGTTTGCTACTAAGTACCCTAGGATAGGCTTTCTTTTGGTAAATGTGCATGTTCCAATACGATAACACTTTGTATATCTTTGTTTCTATGCAGATGATACTCCATTATATGTGCCGGTTTTAAGCAACAAGTGCAAAGGGCTTTCACTTCCTCCTGGTGGTTGTCATTTCATTGTGTTCAACAAACACAGCAGTTCTCAGCTGTTTAGATACCGATTTGATTCATTTTGAGAGACAAATAAGGGTCTAAATAGATGCGAGTGGCTCTGTGAGGCATTGTTATTCACAGTCGAGGTTTTGAGCTAAATGTCATGACAGCATGCTAAAATGCTCACAACAACAATGTAAACATGCTGATGCTAAGCATGTTTTTTGTTACTGTTTTATTTGAGATTGTTAGCATGCTAACATTTCCTAATTAGAACTAAACCCAAAGTGCAGCTGTCGTGTCCTTAGCATGGCTAAATGAAAAATGATGCCACAGGCCAGAGGACGGATGTAACCAATATGTGTCTTAAAATACAGGTGGAGGTGCGGCATCAAAATTAGCTGCATACCAACATTTAGTTCTGATATAAGAAGCCCTTTATCTTCACATTCATATAGACATACATCCATGTATATACTGTTAATACTTATCAGTCTATAACCATAATAATTCAACAGATTTTGGTACAAAATAATGGAGGCTTTTGTGAAACTGTCAACCCACCTGGACAGAGAGCTTCTTATCCTCATTTGGCAGGATTCTGTATGTGTACACACAGTTCTGGTATCTGTGGTTAATAGAGATAATAAAATGCAAATGTATGTCACTGGAATATGACATTGTAGGTCAAAGAAACTGAATACTGGCTGATTGTGTTTTATTGAGTTCAGCATGCGATCTAAACAGATTGTAAAGCATTTCAAATGGATATTTCTATTTCAAAGTGATGAGTTGGAGATGGCAAAGGGTGGTGCGGCGTGGTAGCACAGTATGCAAATAAAGGGGAATTAGACTTGCCTTACGAGAGTACATGCAGAAAATCGAATATGACACATTGAAAAATCGAAGGGGGAAATGTAACTTTGAATCATGTTATATGAACTATGACTATGATAAGACTAATTTCTTCTTAAACCTGATTCCAAACACATTCACAAATGAGTGTTTATCTTTAAATAGTAAGGACCATATGCATGTTGTGAACGTTTTTTCAAACAATAATCATTGTCCACTATGAAACTGCATTTAAGATAAACTGTCAACAAAACCAAAAAAGTCAACTTACAGAACACAGAGGGCATACGCTCCCTGTATGGACTCACTAGCCCGGATAAGGAAGCTTCCATCTCTTGCTGCTTTGGAAAGTAGATCCTCAGCTTTGGATCGACTGATTGTACCATGGCACCATGGTTGATAACTCTGCATCCTGTTTCTCCCCGGGGAGCCTGAGCTCAAGAGTTTTGCCTCTGCTCTCCAACAGTATTTTAGCAAACCAAAGTAGCTATTTTCATCTTTTCATGGTGCGTACTTCAAAAGTCTTTTTGTTCACTTGTTCATCCTCTGCGCCTGAAAGCTGTAAAAGGAAGCTGCTACTAGCTAGGCTCTGAACTTCCTTATTTGAGAGGTAAAGAGAGGAGGGCCCTGGTTCTGCCCTGCCTGTCATACGACAGATCTCCACAGCTCTAACTGGAAATATATACTTTCACTCTCTAAGTAGAAATCTTTGTTACATTGCGTTAATGATTAACCAGCATTCCCTCTTTAGTTTCTGTACAGCTGCTTGTTAATGTGGACCATGCAGGAAATAGTCAAAACATTTGTTAAAACTAAAAATGAAAAAGGGAAGTAACAAAAATGTATCAAACACGACTCCATTTGTTATAGTCCAAACATTTCTTGACAATTGTGTTCGAAAATAAATTCAATCTATAAGGAGCTTTAATTTAATTGGCTGAATCACATTTGACCTAAAGTTAAACAAGTGCTCATATTCACACCAAATGGTGTCGGAATGATCAGAGTTTGGTCTTTAAATATGAAATAGAAGAGCAAGGGGTTTTATGAAAATGTGTACATTCAGGAAATACAAGTTTAGAGAGGCTTGCCTTGTTCATGAGATGGACAGGAAGTGTTGCAGAAATAAGAGGAGGAAAGTAAGCTGCTCACAAACCACAGCATGGGTCACATGACACAAAAAGAGAACTGCACCGTGACAAGTCACTGCAGCTCGGAGGTTTCTGTGCTAAGCTAGAAATAGATTTCTCACTTTCACAGAGAGCAGCTCAAATCCTCAGATATATGACAGTTTAGAGAACACACATCATCTCATGCACAGCACAGAGCACTTGAAAACATATGTTTACTGAGTTATTATTTACAACTTAATGTTACAAAGTACATTTATAATTCACATTTAACTCATCTGGGTAAATAAATCATGTATTTCACCTCTTCTGCAGACGACGTCAAGCCAGACTGACTCACAGTAAAACAGGGTTAATAGCTTTTCATGCAATAGTGCAATACAAATGTGTACAAAACAATAAATGCATAGCATAGCAAGTTAGGAAGTTGGATAATGACTAAGCATGTGTACAATGAAGATGTGTCTACAAAAACAAAGTAAGAAAGCAAGACAAGTCTATTAAAGTATACCTCATATTAAAAATAAGACCAAGAGTCTATAGCCATGCTAGCAGCTCTGAGACACTGCACCGGCACTGAGGTGCTTTGAGCTGCTAACATGCTCACAATGATGGTACTAGCATGCCTGACAGGTACATCTCTACCTTGGTTATCATCCTGTTTGGGGGTGTTGGCATTCTGAATGTTGCTAATTAGCAAACCCAAGGCTATTGGGGATGTCACATGTTTTGCATTGGTCAAACAGTTATTAATTCTCAGTGGAACATGAAAGTCAGTACCAAAAGATAGTTTAGTCTGGACCAAATTGTGGCCAACGACTAACTTTAGCTCTCTTTTTGGGAACTTAAAATTATTCTTACGGCCCATTATTCTGAAACCCGATGAACCATGGAACTGAGAGCCCAAACAATTTTTTTTTTACTTTACTTTACAGCCTCTGATTGGCTAGAAATTGTCGCCTTTGTTGATTGGGTTGGTAAGGTTTAGCCATGAGGGTTGGGACTGGTTAGTGCTAAGATAGTATATCAGGCTAAGCCAATTAGAGGCAGAGTAGGGCGTGTCATGACTTTGCCATAGAAGGAAAAAACATTGTGTCAGAGAAGGTCAGATCAGATGACATCATCATGAAAACATTTGATTTGGTTTGTTGAATAACGGTCATCACCACAATAGCCTGGCAGACCATATCTGGGGCTTTGCTGCTTGGATGACTACAAACAATCTATCATTACAGCAATACAATCACATTATAACTTTAAAGATGAAGGAGTTATATACTATTCACACCATCTCAGTTTGGTGTGTTAGCACTGAGAGCTACTAAACCTGTTGGTCATAAATCAAAGTATTGGACAAATCAACATTTTATACCTACCGGTGACAGGAAAAGTTGTTCCAATACTTCCTCCAGTGATCATGGATATCTGTAATTGTGTGGCAATTCCTCCAATAGCTAACTGACCAACAAGCCATGCCCAGTGCCACAATGCTAGCATGGCTAAAAACACCTTATATATAAAGGCATTAGGAAGTAACAAGTCACATTTGGCATAGGATACAAAACAGTTCCAAAAAATATACATTAAGAGTTGACTATGTCGTACACATTTGAACATTTGGTGTTTAACACAAAAATTGGAAGCTTGTGGAAATAGTAGATTCAACAATGTGTTGAGATCACAGGTGGGTGGATCCTCATAGTCTCACAGACCATGATGGTCTGAGAGTGAGGGCTAGTGTTTAGGGGGCTCCCGTTGACCTTAAAAGCACTTTCATTAAGTCAGCAAGGCTGCAGACTTTGGTTGTGGGATCACCTGGTGGTAGAAGATGGCAAGAAGAAATGTTCCTGGAACTATAAACTAACTACTTGTTTTCTTTAAAACAGAATAATTCTCTTCAACATCTCTCACATTTAGCTGAACACAGGTTGGCCCAGGTAACATGAGTTCCCACAGCGTTTCCCAAGCCCTTATAGGGAGTCCTCACATGCTCCTGCTAGTACACAGGATTCACTTACAGTCTCTGAGGGTGAATTGGGCGTGGGGTGGAGACTATAACTGAGACATGGGGACTAGAGAAATCAACCACATTGTGAAATGGGCCTAAATAAGGAAATTCATCTATGTCAAACAATGTTCCAGATCAAATGTATTTTCCTCAAAACTCAGACTTGGCACTGACAGAGCTCTCGTGTGTTCCCTTTAACTCTCCACTGGTGGCTGCTGACACCCCGGCCTGATCTTTGCAAAACAATCGCATAAGTGTTCCGCGGAACTTCTCCGCTCCAAACAGGTAGATCAGCGGGTCCAGGGCACCGTTCAGGCAGGTGAGGGATGAGGTGAGGCGGTTGGCCAAGCTCAAGCCTCTGCGCGTCTGGCAGGAGACGTCAGGGTGGTTGTAGCCCAGGATAAAAGTGGCCCTGCTCACATGATAAGGCAGAAAACAGACTACATAGATGAGCATGACCAGACCAATGGTGCGCAGGGCCCTCAGCTTGAGGGACGGCTCTAACCTGGAGCCCCGATGCAGGTTATAAATGATGAGCAGGTAACAGGACAGGGTGGTGAGGAAAGGCGGGATAAAGGCCACAGCCAGGGAGATCAGAGCATTGCGCGAGGCCTTCTCTCTGTACAGCTGCAAACACACCGTCATGCCGTCTACCTCTGCAGTCTGGTTGGTGATGAGCAGTGGCGCCATGGAAACAGTAACCAGGGCCCATAGAGAGAAGCTGATGATGTGAGCGTAGCGGGCACGACGAACCTTCAGCGACCTCACAGCATGAACCACAGCAAGGTAGCGATCCCCCGCCACACAGGCCAGGAAGTATAGGCTGGCGTACATGTTGACAAAAAACAAAAAGCCTGCCAACCTGCAGGGCACCTCGCCAAAGGGCCAGTGGCCTCCTGTGAGGTGGTAGGTGGCCCTCAGGGGGAGGATGATCACATACGATAAGTCTGCCACAGCCAGATGAATCAAGAAGACGTTTGCTGGAGATGAAGCGCCACGCTGGTGAGAGAAGATCCAGAGGGCAAGGCTGTTACCGTTCAGCGCCAGGAAAAAAACCAGGATGTAGAAGCATCCAAACAGTGTGTTCTCCACTGTGGTATCCACCGGCGCACAGCTCTCTGATGACTGATTGGATAGCACGGAGGACAGATCCATTGTAGCAGACTCCATTTTGCTTGCTGAGGAGACAACAAAACTGACATTTAAAATGTATCTAGGGTTTCTAAAATAAATTTAGAAAACTAGAAACGTCTCATTTTAATTTAGCAAAAATATGTACAGGTATTTATACAGCACATTTCTAGTTTAGTATTTTTGTTTGCAGGATAGATAAAGTATCTCATTGACAGTTCCAGATCACTGACCATTTGAGTCATGACTTTTCTAAACACGTGCTTTTAATTTCGAAAAAAATTGTTCAGTATGCAAACAGCAAACTACTGCAGTGACAGGAAACCCAACCCCTGTCCGCCCGCCTGTCCGCCCACACACACACACACACACACACACACACACACACACACACACACACACACACACACACACACACACACACACACACACACACACACACACACACACACACACACACACACACACACACACACACACACACACACACACACACAATAGGCAGGGAGAGTTTGTCTCAGTGACAGTCTCACAAGGTCACAATGGATGTCAGTGTACCCGGTTAATGTCCACATTCCATCAGAGCAGATAATTACTTCATTCTGACCACTACAAGTATGAGACTCCCTCTGCACACTATTAAGTTCAGGAAGTGTGAGTCATTAGATCTTCACTCCTCTTTTGTACAGTTTATCTGGCCCCCTAGTTTGATTTGTCAGCATACAATTCTTTAATCTAGACTGAATGGTGAACTGCAACAATTATATAGTGTGAGCAATTTTAAACCTAAAGCTAGCATAGCATCAATAAGTCTGTAAATGTGTCTCCAAAGTTTGTATCTCTTCACCTGACAGACACCACTCTCGTGTTTGTAAGCTAATAATAAGCTTGCGCCAGCAGCCGTTAGCTTAGACAGGAAACTAAATGTCTGCCCTAAGTTTTAAAGCAAACGTATTAACACCTATCCTCTGTTTGATTTGTATCTAAAATGTAATATTAAGATGACAAGTTGTAGTTTCAAGGGTTTTTTGTGACAGTAGGCAGATTGTATGCCAGGCTAGCTGTTTGCCTGTTTTCAGCTCCATTTCTTATTCAGTATTTTCCAAATGTCCAAAATGTTCTTTATGGGTTACGGCTACATAAAGTAACCTGTTGGTGAAAATATACTTTTATCAAAGATATATTTTAATGATATATGATATGATTTTCAAATTTCTGGGGTTATTCCTTCGTGAGTTTAAAGTATAACTTTTGATCAATATATTCTCCACATTTTTGTATTTTCTCTCTATGAGAACCATTCGACACACCTAAAAAATTACCACCCACTCCTCTATCCCTCAGGCAAGCTCCATCTGTCCACTCCATAGGGCGTGAACACAAATAACGAATGTGAGAAAAGGCTTAACTGGAATTTTCTCTTTGTGGAGGATCCAAAAACATCATCAAAACATGTGCAGCAGAGATGAACTTGACATCCACAGATGTTTCTTTAGCTGATGGAAGTTCACAAATATACGATGCAAAAAGCTGCCCAGACAGTGAAACGTCTGGGCAGCGCTTCGAGATTTGTCTTGGCAGATGAGAAGCGCTATATACATTTAATGTATTATTATTCAAATGTATTAAACGTGATTAAATAATGCCGCACCGCATGGCTTCATAACAATATATCTTTTTATCTGACTGGGCTATCCGTTTTACCAGCCACTGTCTTTTGACCCATTAAGAAGCAGTCAGATGTAGCAGCGTGACTCTCTTCAGTGTGTGCTCTGCTCCTGCACCGACTGGAGCTGTGAGACCAATAACCGAGGGTATTTCTCAGCCAAGCGCTCAGACTGGGCATTCAGGAGCCTTAAAGAAAAGGGTTTCAGTCCCAGCAGGGATAACAAACCAGGAGCAGCACAGCTCAATAAAAAAGCTCCCCTAAATACGGATCCAGAGGGATAATCCTAAAGAGAGGCAATCCTGAAATATGCCTTCATCACAATGATCTTGGTAAACAGATCTGTGTAGGAGCGTTGACAGAGGAGACTGAGCATCCTGGCATTGGTCGTTTTTAGGAGATTAGTCAGTAACAATTTGTTGTGACAAATCTGTGACAGCTGTTATGTGTACATTTTGTTAAAATCATCAAAGAAACCCGTAGAATTAAGTAACTGTGAAATCTGGTTATTGGATTAAATGCACATGATATTCACTGACCGGAAGGATATAGTTCTTAAAAAGTAAATATTAGATTTCCAAAGTGATGCTTAGTGATACGGATTAAATACATTTGACTATTGCACAGTGGCTCTAAAATAAGGATATATTGCTTTACTGTAACCATGTATGCCACTTAAATATAGTGTGTACTATAAAAACAATAGAAATAATCTTTCTTACGGAGCCAGAATTTTTATGAAGTAATCAAAGAAAAACATTATAATTACACATTTCTATTACTTTCTAAAAATCTGAGGTAAAATAAGACTTACCTGAGCTTTGGAGCTTTACAGTAACTGGACGTCTTGAAAGAAGTTTGGCTGCTTTAGGAACAATTGAGCTGCTGAACACTCTGCAGGAGCTGAGTGCAGACTGGAGTCCGACCGTGAGCTCTGGAGCTCTGACGCTGACACAAAGAATGCTGTCCTATCCCCCTTTTCTCTCCCTCAAGATGTTCTTGGGAATGAGACTGTAGCTCTTTTTGTCTCAACAAATTTGATAACAGAAACGGAGTCCCAATGAGAGCCTTTCGTTTGAACCTTGACCCCGCCCTTTCTTTCTCCATCCCCTTCTCCTCAGAGAGCTACTTGTGCGCCCCACAATAGCCTGAGTCAGAATAGGCAGCACATTTTAGCAGCGGGGAGAAGAATGGCATGCCTCAGTGCCAATGAGATGTCGGGTATGACACCATGACAACGAGGACTAGTGGTCCACCAAGTGCCTTTACTATGAACTCCCACCCCCCCACTGATAGATAGAAGATGGACTGTGTTGTAAATTTAGAAGTTTATGACTGAAGTCTCAGAAATGATCTTTTGTCGATAGTCTGTTTAGTTCTAGAGGGCCCCCTTCCCTATAGGAGAGCGGGTGAAAACAAGAGTGGGGAGGGGGGTCAGCGCTTGGAAGAAACAGAGGCCCTTGTTGGTCTCTTGCCTCCTAGGGGCATCCTGAATTGGAATGCCCAAAATAATCAGTCACATAGCCCTCGGACAGATGTGGAGGGGGGACCCGCTGGTTGGGGGGGGATAATATTTCTTTCATACAGGGAGATCGCAGCTGTGTGTCAGACACATCGGCCCTTTCTCTCCTCTGGATCATCGATATGCAAATGCTTTGTAGACTTGAATAGAGGCGCTATCTGTGCAGGGCTGGGGGGGGGGCTCAGACACCACTACACTGTTAATCTACTGCCAACTACTAATTGGGATGGCCCCAGCTTTTGTTCGCCACTTCGGCTCTGTCTGTTCTGCGTCTCGCAACCCGAAGCAAAACATCGCTTTGTGTAAGATCCTGCTACCATAACTATACCACTCTTCTCTCTGTGCTGAAGACTGCAGACTATCAGACTCAGGCTCCCGGCTGCTCAGAGAAAATAAACATTTTGTATCATTTTTAACACTCATCAACTCAGGCCTAAATGTTTATTGGGATCATAATCATTTTAAATACATATTTTCTGAAGAGGAACTTTTAAGAAGGTATCCCTATGGAGTTTTTGAATACCTTTTAGCACAACTTAGCAATGTTTTGACCATAGATGTTATACATACTGTAATAATATATATATATATATATCTATAAAAAGGGAACTTAGACAGTGTGACGTCTCCCTTTGGTGTTAGGCCTACAGCTTTGAGGCCTTTGGAGGCGCTGGAGAGGAGCGGCCATGAAGTTAAATGGTGTAATAACTAACCAGCTAACGCTAGCTTGCCCGAAGATGCTAAGTTTATCTAGCACAAAACATGCTACAACAAAACAGCTGACCCTTTAGAGTCTTAATGTACAACATACTGTCGGACAGCAACTTGTCATTCACAAGGTAGCCCCGCCTAAATAATACCTTGCTGCATCAACTGTTTCACTCTGAATAGGACCGTGGTTCACATAATGAACATCAAACTGCTGAAAGACTTCAAACTAGCGCTTGAGACCATAAACTCATTAGGAACATCTTTACTGAGGTAATAAATCAAGTGATTGTTTTCAGAGACTCCAAAGTGCTCCTTTAATGTTTATAAGGCAGGCAGATTTATATGGTGAGGAGATACCAATTGTAAAGAATACAAATAACAACAAGGTTTCATATGTATGGCTAATTGTGTTTAAATGATGGTGTTCACAATGAATTTCCAAAACACATGCCACTAAACAAAGAGAAAGAAAACATACGCAAAACAATGCTTGCTGTGCATTTCAAAGTCTAAAGAACATTTTTACTAGATGCAGATGAAACCCTTTTGGGAATATTATTAGAGACTAATATACTCAAAAAGTATTTATAGTAAATGTGTTTAACGATAATTAAACCTGTGTGGTATTTAAAAATAGAAAGAAGCATTTAAGGAAACCATATGGATGGATATTATTATTAAATTATATTACTTAAAACGTAAGGTCTTCAATTAGAAATATGTTACTTGAATACATGGCAAAGAAAGATTAGCTTTAAGTAAAATGTGAGAAATCTAAAACAACTTTCTTTCATGCAATTAATCAATGTCAAATTAAATGGATTCCAAGTGTGTGTGTGTGTGTGTGTGTGTGTGTGTGTGTGTGTGTGTGTGTGTGTGTGTGTGTGTGTGTGTGTGTGTGTGTGTGTTTCAAAGTTGCGACACACTGGTGCTACTTCAGCTCAGTTGAAGCGCTGGTTCCTGGTTTGCCCCGCCTTCCTCTCTTGGAGGTACATGTTTACGTAGGAGGTTATAAGATCATCCATCTTGTAACCCTATTAAGAGGAAGACAGAGAGGTAAAGAAAGACAAAATAATGGACACACTTGTCATTATTTAAAGTGCACATGTCTAACGATAGATCTTACCAGTGAAGTTTCACACAGGAATTTGCTCCCCTTGACTAAACTGCCAATAGTCATGTGGAAGTAGGTGCTTCCACTGCACCAGTTAGCGATGCGGTTGAATGGGTGATTAGCCAGTACATCCTTTACAAAAGATAATAATTGTTAATAATGAATAATAACAGCACGATGTTAAAGAAAATACTGTTTTTTTTCTGTTTCACCTTGGTTTTAGGGTGGATGATGGTGAGTCCCTGCTTGCTGATGGCTATTCGCACAATATCTGGGAAGCTTGGTTCAGATGTTTGCTGAAAATAAAATTCAAAAAGCAAATGAGATAATGTACCATGGTGACAGAGGGAGGGAAGGACTGAGAGCGAGAGCACCAGACAAACAAACCACCCACTCAACCAAAAGAACTACAGATAGCTAAATAAAAGCTCCATGTGCTGCCTTCACTGCCTTACCTTCACATCAAAGAACGCACATCCAAAGGTGGGCCAGCGGCAGACCGCCTTCAGGAACGCCACCTTCGCTTCTTCAGCAGTCAAACCCACTTGTTTGTTAAAAGATGCGACAATACTCTGAAAAAAAAAAAAAAATACTTACATCGCAGTGTGAAAAATGTCTCATTTAGTAGAAGTAGTTGAACTACTGTGAATGAGGTTAATGATTTTTCAACGCCCCCGCAGCCCTCAGGCATTATTCTCACAGGCAGGGGGGGGGGGGGGGGGGGTCACAGGCATGGCATAATGGTGTTATTGTTCAGATGATACATGTTAAGAACAGGTTTGGTGATGCTCTATATAACTGTCTGAGTATCCCAAGCCTGTATATATCATATTTCTCTGTGCCATAGAGCTCCATTGTTTTCCAAAAACTACAGAAAAGGACAACTGTCCTCATTGAAATCCATTAAAACCGAATATTTGGATCCCACAGCCATTACAGCACGAAATAATACATTCTATTCTTTTTTTTTTACTATGCATTTTCAAACGTTGGCTTTTCTCCTGGTTTTATGCACATAAAAAATAACATGCCTCAAGATTAATTTTGTTGCTCATCAGCATAGCTCAGACGGAAAAAACCCTGGAGATGTAAGTAAACCTTAACAGTTTTATGTTTATTTTGGTTATTAGAAAACAACATTGGCATTATGCAAACAAACTGGCATTTAAACTGGGTCCAAAAACTTGACATTTTTTTATTTAAGATGGTATATGTTTGCCCTCTAAGGACATGTGCATGTTAGCATTGGCAATGAGTTCGCTGTCTTTCACTCAGATTATGAACTAAAGACACAATAAGCCACTAGCCTGGTCGTGTGGATTTGTAGTTGTTGGTTTTGGTCAGTCAATGTAAACAACAATAAAGAAGAAAGTCCTTAAACTGTACAGCAGAGGCTCCTCGTACCTTCTTCCACTCATTTTCGGACATGGCCTTCAGCTGGTCTGCAGGGACCAGCTCCTTCAGGACCTTTGGGATGGAGACAAACTGGCTCTTGTCGTTGCTGAACTTTATCCTGAAGAGCAGAGCGGCAACGTTGAGCATTTCCTCTTTGGTGCTAACATGGTAACCTCTCAGGTACTTTGGTAGCTCCTGGAGGATAAAAAGTCGGTTTTAAAATAATTCACCACAGATCTGGGCCCAAGTTTGACCTTCAGCCAAGTCGCTACTCACAACCACAGACTGTTCACAACATGGTACAATTGATAACTTTTGAATCTGTAACGTTTATAGAGGTCATAATGAAACCAGGGTGGTCTGGTACTAATATTGATACTATCTCATTTATCGGTCAGATAGAATTGTCTACATGGAAGTACAGCTGAACGATATTAACAAATAGGGGACATATTTTTCTTATTCTGCTATATATTTCAAAAGAAAAAACGGAGGAATTTTCACCAGAAATCAATAAAGTGCCCGCTCACATAATTTTTTCTGTAGCTTGTATTTCAATACCACTGACTCAGCATTTATTTTTGCAACCAGAATTTTCTTTTCTGTTTTTCCTCTTTAATATTTGTTGGTTGTGGTCATGGTCGTGTTGCCTGCTTTGGTTCTTTGATACACTGACTGATGACTGTGATTGTTTGTATCCAAGGAGCTTTAAATAAAATAAATGTATCTTGTAAAACGTAGTAGCATGACGCCTTTAGATAATGTGCCTTGCTTGACATTGTATGTCCGGCGCATTTAATTAAAACAATTATAGGTGATTTTGCTGTATTACTGTATTCCATTCACACTCTTCAAAATAAAGATCCTACTTATATATCGTACGGTCCAACTGGAAATATTTGGCTTTCATATTAGGTGGAAAAACTAATCCCGGAAAATGTGATGGTGGCAGGCTGAGCCGCATCATTCAAATGTACCTGAGGGAAATGGAAGATAACATCAGCCTCTGTGTCTCTGCCAGGGATCACATTAAACCACAACTTCCTCATGAAGAACACAAGGTAGGGTATGTTGACAGGCCCACCTGCAGGACACACACAGGCACACACACAAAGAGGTTTTCACAGGTAAATACAAAGAACCATCACAAGTCTAAAGGCACTCCCATCTGAACATGTGTATACCCTCTTTGATCGTCTTGGCTTTCTTGGACCAGTCAGTGATTT